GAGAAGATTTCATTCAGAGTGTAGAAAGGTCAGGAGAAAAGAAGAAAAAATGATTTTTTTTTCATCTCTCAAAAAAAACCAGGATCGAATTAAACGAAGTAAATGCAATATCAGAGGAATAATATGAAAGGATCTCTCATTATTTCCGGATATAATTTTTACCAGGTGTTGATTGCAACGCACGTTCATTTCTGGCAGAGAATTAAATACGAATTCGTTTCCTCTTCAAACGTGTCCCTACGTATCGCATTACTTTTTTATTCCTTTTTTTCTCTTTCTTGCAAACACGAACGAAGAATTATCGTTCGTTATAATTTCGATGTATTAAAAAAAAAAGTATATATATATATAAGAAAAGAATAATTTTCAAATAATTCTTGATTATTTCAAAAAATTTTTAACAATGTTAAAAATACGAATAAATGGAATTTTAAAAAAATATGGACATTTGGTATTCTTTTTTTTTTTTTTTTACGATATATTATTCTAGTTATATTCAGAATAATTCGAGCATAGTTAAAAAATGGCAAACGATGGGTTGTTGAGAATTCAGAATTCGTAACAAATCATTGATCGAGAGATGGCATGGCTGGTATATATTCAAAAAATATGGAAATTCTCTTATGGATAAACGTGTGAGAATTCTAGTTTTTTCAATCGAGACGGATATTTTATAAAAAAAAAAGAAAAATTTTTAAAAAAATGAAGGAAAGAAAAGATAATTTCACGATCACGATGGTGATTCTTCCAGATGGCCAGATAAAGCACGCGTGATGTCACGTAGGACGAGTTTCTGATCGAAGATTGATTGCATATTAATAAGAACCTACTCAAATTTTAAGCGTTCTATTTATCGATCGATGGTAACGAAATATTATTTATTTATAAAAGAATTTAATTCCTAAAATAAATTTAAATTAATCATCATTTCTTTAGAAAGAAATTTGAAATCCATGAATCAAAATTATGAAATTGCACCGTTAAATTACGAGCATTTGTGTACAATCGTAGGTAAGTGACACGATACCGAACGGTTTTTGTTGTACGGCCAGTTGAACCTGTCCGCCACTTGGCGAATTGCCTACATACAGGCGCTTTTGCTTATTAAAAAAAAAAAAAAAAAAAAATTGAATTTCTTTTAAGTTGAAAAGTGATCGATATTCTTGCATATCAACCTTTATTTTTGTACTTTTTATTTTGTATTCAGTATTTATATATTTTTTTTAAGAATATATAAATATTATGTAATATACATACATATCACAGATATTTAATCTAAATGTCTTGTTAGAATAATCTATTGGAATTTCAAACATGAATGTTAATTATAAAAATAGTTTTTTTAATATTTGATATAATAATTTACAATGCTCTGTAATTTTTATTAAGAAGAAATTAAGAAGGAATTGTTGTTGGTATTTTTTCTTCGTTTCTTTTATTTTCGTATCTTGATCCAAAGAATGAAGCTTTCTTTCTTAGATTTCACGATTTTTCGAAACAAAATATTCGATGTGAAAATTCGTAACGAAATAAATTCGCGCGATAGATAAAACGAGAAATGACAAGTGCAGATGGCATCGCCATGTACACACAATCGACCAGCCTTGACATTCTGATAAACCTTCCTCTTCATTTAACCTCTCGCCTCTTTCCTTTTTTTAGGGTGTTCGATATCGATTGATACTAACGTTGAATATTTTAAAAATAACGAATTTAAGCAATAAAATCGATATGTCATAAAATATCATCTTTTATATTAGCTACTTTTCATTTTGTATCGACTATTAGCGAAAAAATTATCATCGATATCATTCACGTTCATATCATACGATATCTATAATTTTTCATTGCATTTTACAATCATTTTTATATATTTTTATAAATAATAAATATTTATATAGCTTTCTCCTGTTCACAAATTAATAATATACATTTTTTCAAATTTGCATTACATTTTATTTATAATTTTTTAAATTTATTCTAGCTCGTTTAAAAATAAACTTTTTTTTCATAAATAATAAAAAAATATTTAACACTAATATAATTTTCAGGATCTCTAAAAGTATCTCTAAAACGAAGAGAAATAATTAAAAAAATTTAGCTCTTATTTTAAAAAAAAATCACACAAAATATATGAAGAAAGAAGGATAATTAAGACATTCAAAATTCTTATATCTCAAAAAAGGAAAAAAAGATATATATTTTCCAGTATCTCTTCAAGCACGAAATATATACGAAATGCCTATCATTCCCCTCACACCACCATACCATATATCTCATATACGCATATCGAAACTATCTCCAAAACGGGGAAAGATAATTAAGACGTTCAAAGTTATTAGGCCACGGTGTATATACGAGGGGCATAACAGGTTACGATCGGTATTTGAAATCTTGTTTATCCAGTATATCATGGCGGCACTTAACGTCACGGTCAACAACGTCGGAACAGTAAACGTCGCTTAGATACGTCTATTAAATAGGAAGTTGCTCCGATGCCCCGTTGTAAATTGGATCGTTACTCATTAAACCGGCCAAAGTGTTCCGCAAGATCGTGG